AGTTACATGACCGTTCAGAAAAGGCAAAGAAGCAATCTTGTGAGGTGAGTGATGGCACGGAGTGTTAATAAATACCTATGTGACTACAATGGATACGACCAACTCAAAGTTTCGCGTCTGGGCGAGTCACGTCTATGTCGCGGCCTTCCCCTAATGGTGAGAAGTACCATGCAACTTTTTCATCAGTGACCTCTTCCAATGTAGCAGGCTTCCACTTGGGGTTTCTATCTTTGTCGATAAGGACTAAAGAATTATTACTATACTCCAAAAATGAGAGCTTGAGACCAATGCTTACTTGCTCGGCAACCCTCATAGAAATCATGGTCCTCGAGGCAGCGCTGTGTGAGCTGGTATTCCATCGTAAACACCTGAATTAAATGCAGCGAATAAGTAGAGTTGAGGAAAGCAAAGACGAACCTCATTGAACTTCATATTAGCACCATTTTGCAGTTGTTTCAAAGTGACTTTCATGGAAGTTGGACTCATTTTCGACAGTGTCGCAACTTGCTTTTTAGACCAGTCAGAGTTTTCCTTCTTCAAATTTTCTAAGATCTCTTCAACAGTTCTGAAACTAACGATTTACAATAGATCAAGACCTCGTTTGACAGGGTTCAGCGCACTAAAAAACGGGAAGGCTGAGGATAATTGGAAGTCGAGCGAACCTCGCTTGGAAGGTTTTCTCAATCACCGGCAGTTGCTCCTCAAGAGAGAACTTGGGAATAGAAGACGGTTGAAGTTCGCGGATTGCTGCTTCTACAGTCTTTTCTGTAACATCATCCAGGGAGACAAGTTTCTTTTGCAATTCTTCTAATTTTGAAGATGGCACCTGCAGCAGTAATCTTTGACCATGAGAGAAAAAGAAATGCCAAAACCTACATAGTGCGTTGCTAGCCCAGCGTGCAATGCGTCAGCACCTTGTAACCGGTAGCCGGTTAGCGCCAAATAGTTGCCAAGATTGTGCTGAAATAAGCAATAGAGTGTAAAATTGAGCAAATTGCGGAGAAACGTGTCTGATTAAGCGGACCTTCAGCCTAGAAAGAAAGTATGATCCTCCGACATCAGGAAAAAGGCCCAGTGCTGTTTCGGGCATCGCTAGCATTGTGCGTTCAGTACATACGCGAAATTTTCCATTCACAGACAGGCCGCAACCCTAGAATGTTGAACTACTGGAAACATATTCAGTTGTAGTTTAGA